GTTTTTAAAAATAATTTATTTTCAAACAATTTATGTCAACATAAATTAAGCCAATTACATTTACTTATCAGAAATTGACAGATAATCAGGAAAGTAGAGTTTTAAATGATATTATATTGAAAGCCAGGAACTGCATAATAATTTGGTGCACAGCAGTGCAACACATACATATCATTTATTGATTTCCTTTTTCAAGTTTAAATATAAAATTATTAATATGCAAATTTTATGCTAATTTGTCATGCTTGATTTTTAACAAAATTTTTCACTTCTGAACATACATGTATGCAGTGCATTGTGGGATAGACATTTTAATTTTACACTTCTGAGCATATGCAATGCATTATGGGATAGACATTTTAATTTTACACTTCTGAGCATAAGCAATGCATTATGGGATAGACATTTTAATTTTACACTTCTGAGCATATGCAATGCATTATGGGATATGAATTTTAATTTTACACTTCTGAGCATAAGCAATGCATTGTGGGATAGAAATTTAAATTTTACACTTCTGAGCATAAGCAATGCATTGTGGGATAGAAATTTAAATTTTACACTCCTGAGCATGTGCAATGCATTATGGGATAGACATTTTAATTTTACACAACTAAGCATGTTAGTGAGCATATATGCAATGCCCTCTAAGATAGAATTCACTAAAGTACAGTCCAAGCATAACTTTACTATTAAGCCATTTCAGAAAATCTTTTTAGGTATAAAATGGCTGCCATTAGGCCATCTTGAACTGGATCAATATAAAAAAATATAAAAATATATGAAAATATATATGCACATATACATGTACATTCCAAGATGCAAGATGCATGTAGGAAATTTTAACATAATCTACCTGGTCTGCCAGAGTCTGAGGTACAGGTAAAATTATATGGTTTAAGAACTTTGAAAGAATGGAAAATAAATCATTAAATACTATGGGTTGCTATACAATAATAATTTTATGCATATTATCAAGCATTATCTAACATTTTAGCCAGCCACTTGTCTGCCGTTCATTTTAGACAGCCACCAGTCTGCCATTCATTTTAGCCAGCCACTTGTCTGCCTGTCATTTTAGACAGCCACCTGTCAACTTTTCATTTTAGCCAGCCACCCGTCTATCGGTCATTTTAGCCAACCTGTTAACTTGTCACTTTAGCCAGCCACCTGTCTGCCGGTCATTTTAGACAGCCACCTGTCTGCCTGTCATTTTAGCCAGCCACCTGTCTATCTGTCATTTTAGACACAAAATTCACATTTTAGACAGGCATATGTCCACTTATGTCTGAAAACTCATAATTTGCAACATAATAATAAATAATTTTCAAAAAAAAAAAATATGGTGCCACTGACTGTCTCGACAGATTTATTGGCAAAAATTCTGACTGACTGTTGCTAATGGAGAAAGATAACACAGTAGCCCTCGATCGCATCATCAAATCTCAAAGTAAAATCTTTTCATTTAAACGATTTGGTGAAGAATATTATCTTGGCTCAGTTGAACCACTGGAAAACAAATTATTTACAGTATCTCTACAGCATCTGAATGATTAAAAATCAAGCATAGACCAGATTTACAGCTATATATAGAAAACAATAAAATGCACAGAGATTAATCTTGGGTATTTTGGGAATAATATTAGTAATCTGATCTAAGGGAATTAAATTCACCAATTTCACTCTGAACATGGATTGAAAGCAACAACTGAAAAAGCTCTGTGGAATTGCTTTGATTTAGATAAGATGTTTAGTATTAACAATCAACAAATAATGAGAAAAAACAAAATAATTAGGTAGATGTCAAATAAATGTTTTTAAAATATACTTTGTTAACCTGTCAGGTTCTAAATGATTGACAGAAGCTGAACAATTTTGATTATGTTTTTTTACTCAGTAATTAAATTACTGGTAATTGTATTTTTAATTTTAATTAATTACTTAAATATGCAAAATATTATTTCATGTGATTTTAATAACAAGTTTGTTCAAATTTGAATGTTGAAGCGGATAAGTCATCACCTACGCATGCGTCAGATGAACATAGCATGTGATTGTTTACTATCAAGTGTCTACCCATGAGCCTTTGTGTTTTTAGCGTGTGTTGTTATCGCCGCTTGGGACTCAATTCCTGCGTGTCCACAGGTGACGACCCTCTCGCTTTAATATATTTTCAGATTCACCCATTCATTTGTTACAACCTCTCTTTTCATGCAAAAAGCAATTTTAAATTTGCATGTTTTATTTGGTACAATGTAGCATTTATTTTGCATAATTCACTGATCAATGATTCAATACTGGATGTGAGCCAAGATTATGAAATATTAAAACTGACGCTGAACAAGTGTGCTTTGAATTTGTATCAACAGAGAACATGTATTATTAAATTACAGTATTGTATTAGACACAGAAAAAATATTTATGTTTCTGTCGCATACGCATCGGTTAAAAGCTTCAAGGTATGTTTTTTTGGAAAAAGTTAAATTCATTTAAAATAGAAAACAGTATAAATTAATTATGATTTTAAAATTTAAAAAAAAGATGATTTTACTGAAATATATAATTATAGGGTGACGGTCATCTGTTGCGTTCGGTTCGATATGGGATTCATAACGACTTACACAACATGTATGTAAAATACACAAAATTTAAACATGTGCTGCGGGAGAAAACTGCCCTTAACTGACTTGTATGCTTTGCAACTCATTGTATATAGTCAAAAATATTTAGAGGCTTTTCCCCATTTAAACTTTTAAGAACTAGTTCCTGGTAAACGAGGAACGGAGCAGGGGGGGTGCTGGAAGATTTTATCAAACAAGATTTTTGTCTTGTAATAGGAATAAATAAATTTGCTATTTCAGCGCAATATACAAATTAGAATTCCTTCAACCACCTGGATATCAAATAGCTAGCCACTTCCTGAGTACAAACATACCAAGGAAGGGTGTATTGTAGACTTTGTTACAAATCCAACCAGCATCTTTTTCAAAAACATACCAGCTGTCTGCGTGTGCAGAGTTAACTCTTATATACGCGTGACTACACTACGATTACTATACTCGATTAGTATTTCTACTGTATTATTTTTAAATCTAATATTCACGTTTTATGACGAATTGAAAACATTTGATTCAAAGTTTGTTTGTTTTTATTACTAGATTTTTTTACAGTCTGTATAAAATAACTTTACACGGGTACTGTCAATGCGTCGATGTTCGCAGCGAAGCCATACATGTACTCTGTAGGTTAGTGCGAGGAGACACTCCCACACACACGTTCACAATCTACACACTAATCAAAATATTATTTTATTTTCCGGTTTGAATTATAGCGGCTCTCGACAAAAACATAATAAGATGTTATCAAGGTGTGTGCAAAAAGATATCTCGCTTTTTACAGAGAATAGTATTATAAAAGCGCGGTACAGGTAGCCGCAATTTAAAGTAAGCGTCAATGACTATCCACGTACGCGGTTGTCAAACGTCAAACGCTTCTTCAAAAACCAAATTAGTAGGATCGACAGATTTTTCAGTAAAACAAATCAAAACTGACGTACCTAGTATTCCAGCTACCATGCACAAACTATGTGTTGGACTCTAATTCCATAAACGATGTACAATAACAAGAGTACATCGATTGCAACGACCACATACACTGGTTTATCGCAGTTTGGCAATGCTGATATATACGCCTGGCATATCAATCAGATTACACATTTACAACTCCCACACCATACACTTGACAACACAAAAATATAACGGACTCGCTTTACAATCGTATAAACATAATTTCAATGGTCAGTGCAGTAGGCTGATTGATGAATATTAAAACTCATATCTCCTTTGTAGATTTAGAGCAAAACAATATTAATTAAAACAATTGTTTTTTTTAATTTTTAAAATATTCCCTTGAACGAGGACAAGGTTAGGGGTTATCAGGTCAACTATATTTTATTAACTTAATTTGTTCCAGTATTTTTGCTGAAGTTTCGAAAATACTCACATATTTTTGTAATATATCAATACAATAGGGAACAGTAGTACATTCTGTGCTGTATTTCTTACTGTTTATTTCGTTTTTTGTTACTGGAAAAATATTAGTTGGGGTCTAAGGTCAATAGTTCCGCTGCATACGTAATGAGATGCTACTCAACAGGCAATATGGCGTCCATGTGATACCCTAATTTTAAACGCATTAGGAAATCCCGACGAATTTGCAGTATACTGCAACAGGAACCGATTTTAATGCTGTTATACGGTCCATGGAACTAATTACAACTGTATAGCGGTTGCTGTGTACTGAAATCTAACCAGGTATCGGTGTGTTTGTTCAACTCGACTGTCACCATAGACTGCAGTTTCAGTTTTGTTCCTTATCCCATTGAAGGATGGCTGCCAAACCAACATTCAAACCAGGAGATAAAATCTTTGCCAAAATGAAAGGATATCCTCATTGGCCTGCGAGGGTGAGTGTGGTGAGATATAAATTTTATATTACATATGCATGTAACGTTTTCGATGTATTCCTGCATTTCACGTTGCATACATTAATAGGCTGCAGCTTGAAATCATGGTGATCCAGGCAGTCGATTTGAGACACTTTCTCTTACCATCGACGAGCGTACCAAACTTTGCAATTATCCACAGTGAGTAAATAGTCAAGTAAGGTTTTATATTCATTGGAGCTGACATTGACATCTTGCATTCTAGTCTCAAATTATACATGTACTTATTTTGCTTCTACGACTTTGTTTCTACTGTATAAAACACATGTTATCAAGTAAAATAGAGCTAGAAACGAATATATAAACAAAATGACATTTTTACCCTCACAGTAAAAAATTAGATGTAGCATACATTGTAGTATTGAATACCAATTTACACAATTACTGTTTAAAATAAGAGAAGCCATTCAGGTTGAGGCCACAGTCCCTCCAATTCATTCATCAGCAATTTTTTTTTAAATAAATGGGGAGCTGAAAATGGCTTTCTGCAACACAGTAATTAAAATCTTGGCCTGTGAACTTGACTGAAGTCTAGAGTTGAGCAATGTAATCAATGCATAAAGTTTTTATTGAAGAATTACCATACATTACAGACAGTCCAAGTACCATACTCGTGCACATGTTGGTACACGTTTGTTTCCATAAACCTCTTTGCTTGGCAGATTTCTAACACAAGTTCAATAGCATGCTAGTAGCTATTGCTGTATTGGGATAGGCTATTGTTCTAGTATTATTGTTATTGTTATAACAACAATAGCCAATGTACTGTATAAAATTTTCGCTTGCAACTAATTTTTGCTTTTCTCGCTGAAGGAATGATTTTTAAAATAAAATCTAGAGAATACTCCTTTTTTCCTATATAGTGAAAATGAATACCATACAAAACACCCATAAATATTTTAAGTATTTTACTGTAATTGAAATTACGAGGGTAATGAAACTGACTTGTAGTTGTAAATTTAATTTTCTACAGCTGTATTAGTATTTGGGGCAATTATACGTGTATTTGGTGATAATTTAGACAATGAACATCTCTTTATTGTTGTCTTAAATAATAAAATCTTAAATTCCAAATAAAATTAATTATCTGCATCACCACATCAAATTTACCCGCAAAGGCTGCTTGTAATTGTTTTTAAGCTCATCTCTAACAATTATAAATACACGATTTTATTGTTGTTGTGATTTGCAGATTGATGACATCCAGGAAGGTGCTGTCAAACCACCAGCAAATAAGTTTCCAATATTTTTTTATGGAACTCATGAAACGTAAGTACAGTGTACACTATTTAAGAGGAGCAGTTATGCAGTTATGGGTATGATAAATCTGAATTCAGTTCCTCTTCACTCAAAAATGATTCCTTGTTACAGATGCAATATGGAGAAGAACATGTCATTTTTAATACTGTTTATTAATTGCCTATAATGGTCACAATCAAACAGTCCCAACCAAATTCACATGTAAATACACTGTATAGAGCTGTCAGTATGGGGGACGGTCGATTCGTCCCATAAGTTAATTTGTCCCAAAGTCGATTCGTCCCACAAGCTGATTCGTTCCAAAGTCGATTTGTCCCACAAGTCGATTCGTCAGATTTAAGGTTAGCCCACTACTAACTCGCCAAATAACCACAAAAAATCCAAACAACGAACTGTTCACATACGCGTCATTTACCAGGCAAAGTGTTCAATTGAACTGCCTATTACGGCTGACTTACAGAAAGTAGCAAGTTCTGTTGACTTGTTATATTTTCTAAAATAACCGAATGAGGCTGCAATGATTACAAGAGCACTCCACAAAAGGCTTTATTGACATGTTTTCACACCTGCTAAAATTTGTACAATATCAAAGTTAATAATTTACCAGTATGAACAAATTTTTTCATTGGTTCCTCTTTTCATAACTACTGAAATAATTTGAATGTACTAAATTTGATACCATCCATTGTCATAGTGCTGGTACAATAGACCATTTTCCGTCACTGCGAGAATCACGCATTATGCGTGAAATCGAACGTAAAAATAGGACAAACAAAGGTCATAGCATCGTAGTGGCGTCAAACATCGTGTGGGATTCGACAAACGCGAAAGTATTTTGGTGACATTTCCATGCTTAATAATGTGCTGTCCACATTTGATGATAGACAATTTCGATTAAGTAAGGGTATTCAAAAGCAATATTCCTCTGTCGAAGATCGGCCGGTCGATGTGAGCTACGAAATAAGGAAATTCAAGTTCAAAATCAAATTGTTTGATTTTTCTGCAAACTTTTGACATGCGTCTATCATGCATCTTGCGAGATCTCGCAGTTGAACGGAAAATCACATATTTACAGCATGAGATACAAATAGCATTACCGGGCATTTATTAAATGCATTTGTTTAATTATTATTTATTAAATATTGGTATTCACTTCAAAGTCAATAAAATGTTGAGTAAAATGTGATCAACTTGTTTTGATAGAGCAATCAAAACAACAAGATCAACCGCCATAGTTTTGAAGAGATGACGTTGTTGTTTACATATCCCATGAAAGACATTATGCTAATTGAGCCTTGCACTTGCCTGCTGGGGTTTGTTAACAGTGCACAGGAACTACAACAGAATCAAATAAATAGTCCTTTTGCTTTGGAGCCCATCGTTCGTTTGACTATAGTTTGACCAAATTAATTTGTTTTCAAATAGTTGCATTTTCCTGCCATTACTAGTCCTGATACATAATAGATGATTGCATCAAAGCTGACTCCAGCTATGGTTTCAGCATAATGCAGACACCCAGTCTAGTTTTCAATATATAGTTCAATACTAAACAGGCCAGTAGGGTGAGTCACTTGATAACTGGGAGTACCAGATTACTGAGTGGCATTTCTTATAAATTCTTCTTTTATTCAGAGCCTTCCTTTCAGCAAAGGAGTTATTTCCGTACGCTAAATTCAAAGATAAGTTTGGAAAACCAAATAAGAGGCGTGGCTTTAACGAAGGATTATGGGAAATTGAAAATAAGCCAAATGTCAAGTTTGCGGGAACAGTAAGTACCATATTTGTTATGAATCACAGTCAAGTGTCAAGTGCAGTGGTGCCGAGTATTACCTGAGAAATAATTTTAGCCATTGTTTCTTGATTGCTTCGTCACAGCATACGGTAACTGAGGTCATGAAAAAAAGCATTGATTCTAGGTTGCTCGGTCACAAAATGTACAGTACAGTCAGGGTGTAACTTTTAATGCAGCTATACTTGTCATCATTAATTTCAACATATTCTCTCTATAGCATTTACCTGTGCTACAAAGGAGACTTATTTAGGTTGATTACTCTGTGCAATTAAGATAAGTAGCTGCTTAGTTAGCTTAATGTCAGCTTAAAACACGCTAAATGTTAAGTTATGCTAAGACCGCACTGAAGCTTAGATCAGTTCAAGTAAGAGGTCACTGAATGAGCCGAGGTTCTAGACTGCTCAGGCATGACAGGTACCTTGGCTTATTTGATAAGGTCAAAGGTCATGGATTAAGTAGTGATTTTGGACTGCTTATTCTTGCAACACAGCTTAGGCCAGACTTTTATTATCCCTTGTTTCGCGAACCCTCCGAACAGGAGGCGAAAATGAAATAAAAATAAAATTTAATTTCACCGTTATTTCTCGCGCCCACTTGTAAGTGCAAACAATTGCTAAAAAAAACTTATTTTTATCTCCATTTTTTCCGCCCGCCGCATAACAAATCCAAGTTGCATTTTCGTGGGAGCATCATGATCAAAGTACCAAAGTCTCACCCAGATGAGTAACAAAGGTATACATGGAATAAAATTTTATTTCATTTCTTATCTCCAATCAATGACCTCACTTACAATTCTTTGAGAATCACACAAATCTAATGGAAAAAAAAAAATTAATTTTATTTTTTTCCGTTCTCCTCAAGAAAGTTGCCTTATAAAAACTCGAGAAACAAGGAATAAAAAAAGTCTGGCCTTTGTTGTGTTCTCTGTTGAGATCAGATGTCATGGAAACGCTCAGATAATGATTGTTACTTTATTTTAAACTAATAAAACTGATGCCCTTGTAGTCAACAGAGTCTGAAGAAGCAGAAGAGGAGGAGGAAGGTGAAGAGGAGGAGGAGGAAGAGGAAAATGAGAAGAAAGAGGAAGAAGATGCTGAGGAAGAGGAAGAAGATGAACCAGAGGAGGCAGAAGAAGAGAAGGATGAGAGTAGTAGTGAAGATGAAAAACTAGTAATTGATGAAGCACCCAAAAAAAAGGTTGGTTACCCATAGTTACAGCATTGATTCCCTAACTACTATAAACGGTTACATTTTCACTGCTAGAATTTTTTATGATTTCAGAATTCTATCGTATTTGTGAAGAAAAACATTTGTACAAGTCGCTGAAACTTCATTGTGTATAGAACCCTAGAAATCATGAGAATGCCGAAATCCAAAAAGTTTATAACAGAATCAGCAAACTTCTTTTCTTTGTGTAGAGTCCAGTCAAACCCTGAAGGGGTTTATTTATTATTAAACGTAATCATTCCATATTCAGAACTCGCATTTCCTATTATGGTAGGATGAAAATACCCCATAAAATACCGCAAAATTACGGCACGCTGTAACTTACGGCATTACGGTGACAGATGTTATAAAAATAATAATTACTTTATTGAAATCATTTCCATTTGCTGTTATGGTATTTATTGCCAGTCATCATGCACATGAATGGCAAAAAGAACACGTCAGTGTAGAAACTGATTGCATTGCCGACAACGTCTTGCGTTCATTTCATTCATTACTACAGTGTCTGACCATATATAGCTGCACTTCCCTCCATCGTCATGTCATACTAGTATGAATTTAGTATACTGTGAAATACTTTATCTTTGTTTGGAATTAATTTTCGCTGAAGGAATAATTCAGTGAAAATAAAATCCAGCGAATATACTTTTTTTCCTATATTTCACATTCAACTCGTCATAAATCAGTGAAAATAAATTTCATGCAAAATAGCCAAAAACACTTTTCAGCGAAAATTAGTTCCAGCTGAAATAAAGTATTTTACAGTATATGTTTTCCTAAATTCACTACTGAGGGCATGATTTCGGTCATACCAAGTGTTCAGACAGCAAATTTTGCCAAGTGCCAAGTTTTGATCCCGACTCTCTACATGCATTTTGTGTAAAATACATTGTACATAGTAGTTTTACATGGAATTTGAACCCGTGCTGTGTGACAACTGTAGCATTATAACTTCTTTTTTTAATTTAATTAATTTACATCTATTTCAGGGGAAACCTAGAAAACCAGCTCAGAAAAAGAAACCAGCAAGAAAACGAAAACCTTTCTCGCGCAAACCTAAGGTTTGAATCATTTATTAAATACTTAATTATGTATTCAACGACAGAAAATATATTTTTACTGTGCGACCAGAAATTTTTGTTTTTTATCACTACATATTAAAAACCACAGTATGCTCGATGTTTTTCATAATAAATGTTTATGACAATTGATCAAAAACTGTCTATATTTTGTTTACTATAAAATAATTCTCCCTAAAAAGACATTTTGGCTGTTTTGTATGACATTTATTTCACTAATTTTTAATGAGGTGAATGAAAAATGTTTTTTAAAAAAAAAGTATTTTTGCTGGACTTCCTTAATTTTATCTACTGGACTGTCCATCCATTCGGCATCGTATTTCTGAACCCTCTGGACCATGTCTGTTCATGTTTTTGCATGTGGTTAGGGACAACGTCAAAAGCTCGATGTCGGATAAAAAACTTATTTGCTTTAGTTTGGGGGTGGGGGGTTTGACCTCAAAAAGTTTCCATCTTACAAAAACGATTTTATTTTTTAATGAATTCAAAAAAATCTTGAAGAATTTGTAGTTCGTTTTTTTTCTATCCAATCATGGACAGAAATAACAGAAAATTAATAAAAAAAACATCCAAGACGAGAAAATGTTTTGGTCTGAGTGTAAATATGTGCGTCAAATGAAGTGCATTTGTAAAGTCTTTTTACACCCACCTGACAACCAACTGCTATGCCATACTACTGTCCTATTATCAATTTGTATTTAAGGTAGCGAGAGGGGAAACATAATTTATAGTTTAATGGAGTTTAGGACTTTCCTCACCAGTTACTAAGCATGCAGTTATGGCAATGTATATGTTTTCAGAAAGCTTAGATATAGCAGAATACGATCATATATGTTTCGTCTTGATATTTGCTCAGGGGATTAAGTTAGATCGTTCCCGTTAGCCTTCTAAACAGAGAGTTTTTTTGCGGGATTGGCCGTTTCTCGGTGTTCCTTTTTTCTATGTTTCTGATCTTTTCACTGTTGCTTTATGAGATAATGATCTTTGAGAATGCGTCTCGAAATTTTTATGTGCCTCTTAGTTCTGGAGATAAAGCCTGTTGAACTTTATGGACTAAATTTTACGAACGTCTTCCTGTTCCCAAGGCCGTAACTCAACGTCAACGGCTCACATAAATGTCCATGAGACATCATATTTTAGCCCATTTTGTGGCAAATAGATTGTGTAATTTGTACATCGTTAGCGTAGAGAAAAGTGTTGAAAGATGACATCTTCAATAGTTATGATAGTCAAAAATTAGTTTTCGTAAAAACTCAATAAAACATTTTTTCGAATTTGGCCACAGATAAACAGCTAATTATTGACAAAATGTCTACCATTTCGATCATACTTTGTAAATATACAAGTATCTGATATGCGTGGAATATTAGATCATGTAAAATTGGTTGGTTGTTTCCTAAAACGTGACAAAACTTAGCAGTTTCATCGAAAGTGGGTGCTAACTTGAGCAAGAAGGCGTACCCACGCAATTAATTTATTCAAGTCCCTTTGTTATGTTGAACAGCGTCAACAGTACAATCGGTTCTCTAAACATAGGGCGGGCCTTCATGACAGCATATTTACTTACGGGGTATACATGCATTCAAGTACAGATATGTTTGCATTACTCTCAGCCTATGGAGAGTGTACCGTTATCGGATTTGTTATAATCAGTTAGCTCTAAGTCAGCACTACCGGATTCGGTCGATACCCCGCCCGGGCGATCTTATGGAGGATTCGATTTCCTTTTAGAAAAATGTGGACCAAAAGGTCGCCCGGGCGATGTTATGGCAGATATTACGAAGCCTGCAATCTTGTTTGAAAAAATAACCCTGCGCTGATGAAAATGGTCTCAGAAAATGTTTAGAAAAAATAATGTTTCGCGTTGACCAAATATAATCAGTGTTTTAATACATTGGTGAGAGGTCGCTTTTTACGTGAACAAGAACATGCACTAAGAAGGAAAAGCAAGCCAAAGTCGAAACGGGGTGCATCATGGACATGACATGACACAACACACGATGCGACAACTGAATGATCAGTGACATCATTTTGGGGTGCAATTGAACTTCAAGTACTTCTTTGCGAAACTTGCTGCACGGCGATGCTGACATCAAGTGTATGTTGACCGAAGTTTGACCCCAATTCACGCACTGAACTGGCGTGTTACCTTAGCAACCTTTTTCTTTCGTGCTCTGCGCGTCGATCTAGTAAACTTGTATCCGACAGTACTGTAATTACGCAACTTGTATGCAACTCTGTACTTTGAATATATTAACATCGTTTACTTGGTGCACTGCTTTTTTAATTACGCAAATTTGTTACAATATTGTACCAGCTCTGAATATTTCAACTTTGTAATATATTGCTTTCATAATAATTACGCAAAATTCATTTTATTTTTTACTATTGTTAGGGCACTGACCCGGGGTATTGGGTCTGTGAATATTTCAATATTACTGACTTGATAATGCGTTGCATTCGTAATAATTACAATGGTGAATTATTTTATTCGAAATGAAGTGAATATGTGATATAAACCATACCGTGCGTCATATTAAATTTTACTATAATATAATAAACTCTGGGCAGCGCACTTCGATCGCATTATTCACGTACATATCGACTGAACTCTACTAACCACATGTTTGTATTACGTGCGGCATTGGGTTCACGCACTGATATTTGAATTCGGACCACCCAGCTTGACCCGTCGACAGAAACCGCTATATCCACTGGATTTTTATCGGTGTCACCACTCTCGTCTATCTCCGCCAATTCTGTTTTGAGTTTTCTTATTTCATCGGCGGCATCTTGAAATTCTTGTTCTAATAGTCTTATAGCAACGTCTAAAACTTTCTGAGTGTTTTCTCTGAATGTGGTTCCAGATAGAAGAGGCGGTAATCCCATATAGCTACTAAATTTACGCATTGCGCGACGACCCTTTCCAATGCCACGAGCCGCGATCACCAGCTTACAATTCACATCAAAAGAATGTCCACTCTTTTTTGATGCAGGAAAAATGTCAGTCATGGAGTTACATTTTTGATTCCACTTTATGGGCTGACTATAATAAGAGCCCAGGTCACTTTCATTTAGATATATTTTAACGGTGTCAGACATTTTTCGGCGGCCAGGTTATTAAAACACCAAGAAACCTTGAAATACTATAGTGTAATGTTTGTTTGTGCTTCGATCGCGATCGCGTAACGGATACTACTTATAGATCACACAGGATATAATAAAGCCGGATGGTCAACAAATCAGTATGCAAATTAAATCCTTTGTCTTCAGTCCGTCACTCAACATGATATGTAAATGCATGAAGGACGTGTTCACCTACAACTAAGTTTCCGGGAATAAATTGAAATTACTCAACAAATGCATCGCGCACTGTAAATTCGGACCAAAGATAAAGAAAGTACACAATATAAGGTTGCATAATTCGGGATTTTTAGAAAAATGTTTTTTTTTTCTAGTTTTTCCCCTCTCGCTTCCTTAATGGTGAATGTAGTCTGACGCCATGACCAATATTTATCAATTAAGTTTCAGTGTGGGGGGGGGGGGGTTGAAAAAAAGTAAAGGAATTAAGTTTTTTATCCGACATCGATCTTTTGATGTCGTCCCTTAGTGATTTGTGTGGGGCATATATACATTTAGTGATTTGATCTAATATGGCCAAACAACAGCCATTTTGTTTCTTTGAAAGTGCATTATCTTGGACAAGCTCAGGATACGTCCTACATGATTTTATCAAAGACAGATGACTGGCAGCCAAATGTTCTCCCAAATTGCAATAGGGGGCAGTGTAATTTACAATAACTTTCTTCCACCAATTCATCCCTCCAGTGAAAATATCAAAACCAAATTGCAAGTGAAAATAAAATACTATAAAGTAATTTATTTTCCACCAGGCTTTTCATGGTTAATAAGCAACAACAAATCAAACAAAAACAAAGGCAGTTTGTGGAGGTTGAAAATTGATTAGTGTTTGTAACTTTGTATTCATATTAACATGGGTATTTGCAACTTGCAAGTTTTGTTATTCTTTATTTTGGTGAATTCAGAAAATGCATAGATGTGTAAAAGTGTATGATCCACTGGTGAGCACAATATGGCTGAATATAATCCAAGATGGCACTTGGCTCTGAGCCTAAGGTGGCACTCCACCATAAATCCAAGATGGCACTGCTCCCTGAATCCACAATGGCACTATCTCCTTGAATCCAAGATAGCACTGCACCATGAATTTGAATCCAAGATGGCACTGCTCCCTGAATCCACAGTGGCACTGCTCCCTGAAGCCACAGTGGCACTGC